CCCCCCCCCCCCCCCTACCTGAATCACGGGGAGCTTTTCCATATGTGATTGTATAAAATATTCTGAGATGTGTTGTATAATGCCCTCACATGGGATGTGATAAAATGGATTGCTACAATGTTTATAACAAGTTCTCCTATTTTTTCTCTTTAGATTTGCGAGCTTACTGAATGACTACGTGGAGTCTGAGTTCTTTGTCATTGATGGAGACTCCTTGCTAATTACTTGTGCTATGAATAGTTCCTTGTCACCAGGAGAGAGCTTACACTTGTTTTTCTTGGTAGAACAGTTTTTGTTCAATTTAACAAGCAGGCAAGGCAGATATGTAATTGTGTTTTTCGAGGTATGTACAATGTATGTTTTTGGATCACTATTTGAATTGAGAGATAGTACATTTTGAGTCATTGTAGTATTTAGCTTAAAAGGTATCTATGGTAAAACAAAACAAAAATGTAGCTTAAATGTCCACAAGTTCTATATAACTCCTAATAACCATTAGTTACATAGTATATGAAGTTGAATAAAGACACAGGTCCATCAAGTTCAACCCTTGTGTGTCTATGTGTGATGGTGCATGTGTGTACACAAGTCTCTGCGTGGTCTAGTTGTTAAGAGTACCTGTACCCCTGTATGTTACGGTCTTCGAGGAAGGTATCTAAATGCTTTTTGAGTGAATCAATACTCTCTGCTGATAGCACTGCTTGTGGCAGCAAGTTCCAAAATGTAACCGCTCTAACTGAAAAGACTCCCCTACGCCCTTTGTGGTTAAATCTTTTCTCCACCAATTTTCGGTGGTGGCTCTAGTCTTTGTTATGGAGTTTACTGTAAACATTTATTACTTATGTTGCCATCACCACTAAACATTTTGCACCCCAAAATCATGTCTCAATTTCCTCACTTCCAGCATGAACATGTTTAAATTTAGCAACCTTCTCTCATAGCCTTGGTTCTCCAGCCCCTTAATTAGTTTTGTTGCCGTTCTCTGTACCCTCTTTAGTTCAATGACATCCTTTCTGTGGATAGGTGACCAAAACTGAACCGCATACTCAAGATGAAGCCGAACCAGTGATCTAAAAAAGTGGCAAAATTATTGCCTTGTCTCTACAGTACATTCCCTTTTTAATACATGGCAGTACTCTGCTTGCTTTGTTTGCTGCAGTCTGGCATTGAAAGGTATTATTCAATCTGTGGTCCACTATGACCCCCGATCTTTTTCCATTTCTGACTTCTCTAGTGGAGTTCCCATTCATGTGTATTCCTCTTGCCTGTTTTTAACACCAAAATGCATTGCTTTACATTTTTTCAACATTAAACCTCATCTGCCATATAGTTGCACACTCCCCTATTTTATAAGTCCATGTCTATGACCCTCCCAATTTTAGTGTCATCTGCAAACACAGAAACATGGCTATTGCCACCTTCCCCGACATCATTAATAAACATGTTAAACAGTATGGGGCCTAGCACAGAACTCTGAGGCACGCCACTCTCGACCTTAGACCAATCTGAGAAAGAGCCATTTATCAATACTCTCTGGACACGTTCCTGTAGCCAGTTGTCTATCCATGTACACACCATTTCATCTATGCCCATAGATCTAAGCTTTGGCAAAGTCCAGACATACCACATCCACCAGCCTTCCGCCATCCAGATCTCTACTCGCCTCTTCGTGGAATGTTAGTAGGTTGGTCTGACAAAAACGGTCCTCCATAAATCCGATGCTGATTATCACTTATTATAACTTTGTCACAAACAAACTACTAAATAGTCCTTTATCATTCCCTCAAACAGTTTTCATACTATTGATGTTAGACTGACTGGTCTGTAGTTCCCAGGTTGGATCTAGAAGTTTGTTAACGTATTTATTGAAGATGTACTTCCTCAATGCACTGAAACAATTTCACTCATCCCTGTGAATATGCACTTATCATTGCTTTCTGATGCATGCATGATGGGATATGTAGTCTTGAGAAATCGGGATTGCGTCACATCAAGCAGCAGGGAAAGAAATGCAAAGCACACTGGGAATCTAGGAAGTTGTTGAAAGTGATGGGCAGACAGAAGGCAATGCTCACTACATTAAAGGGATTTTTTAACCTCTTGCCGTCCGCCCGTAGTAAAAAAACGGACGGACGGCACTGCTACATCTGCGGGTTGCCGTCTCCAGACGGCAATTTTTTTCTGCTCGCGCGCGCCCCCTAGCGGGCACGCACGGGCAGAAAAGACCCGCTAAATGCACACACCCGTTACCGGGTGTTTCACATATAGGCGATCCCCCGCCCCGACGCGTTTCGTCACACTTGACGTCCTAAACGAGTGATTGCTATTAGTTATACTAACTTCTTTGGATCCACTTGAAAACCTTTTTGCACAGAACATTAATCATTTCTCCACTAAATATTTTTTCAATAATTTTCTTTTGAGAAATGAAGCACTATTAGGAATTGTTTTAAAATTGTAAGCTGCAACTTGTATTTATTTTTTTTAAGTTATGCTATGTGCTAGGTGTTATTCCAATTTGGCTGCATAGGTAGTGTAGTAGTGGTAAGTGTTTTACTTTTTTTCATATTCCTCTTACATATTTATGTCATTGGGTTAAATATAGAGAAATATAGCTATACTGTATGTTGTACCTTTACACACAAATATTGTACAAGACAAAGTGTGCAATTTGTAAGACACTCAGCAGAAATTATTGTTTTCTGAATTCCCCTAACCCTCACCCACGTTAGAATTTATTTTTTTAGCCATGCGGCTTAATTTTTTATTTTTTTAATTTGCTGTGGATTCCTGCAAAGTTAAGCAGAGCAGCAAACTTTAGAATTTAGGTGACTTTACAGATGATAAAGATGTCTGAGTGAGAAATATTTTTTTTACTAACCTTGAAATCATATCATTATACACACATCTCCCATTACTTAGACACTGTGGTTTTTTTTTTAAATCAGAAAATCATACATGCATGGCAGTTTTTGCAGATTTATGTGGGAAGTATCAGGGGAAAGATACAGGAATCCCTAAATGCACCGAAACTATAAGTGTAAATGTTACTTATTTGATTGCCTGAAATGTTATTTCTAATGTATGTGAATGTGAATTTTCAGTCCATCTAAAAAGTCTATTTAAAGGTTACAAAATGACTAACTGGTGATTAGTGTGTGGATGGATTTGTAGTTATGCAAAAAAAAAAAAAATATATATATATATATTACAGGACAATTTCACAACTACTAAAACATGTACCCCATGCTGTTAATTATTATCATCGATTAGGAGGTACTAAGTAGTAAATGAATGGGTAGCTGACATAAGGTGACTCAAGAGGACTTGGTAAATGCTGCTTTCTTTAAAGGGCATATGTGTTAAAAATGAAAGTCATAGTGCTACCGTATCTTTTAATAATATGCGCAATAGCGCTAGCATGTCTGTTAAACAATACACACAATAGTGCTACCATATCTGTTAGTAAACAATAGGCACTATATTGCTACCATGTCTGTTAATAAACAATATGCACAATAGTGCTACCATGTCTGTTAATATACACATTTTAATGATGGCTGTATTTTATTCTACTCTCGGACTCACACTGCTGTATTGTATCTGCAGGACTTTAAGCACTTCTTTTTTCCGTATCCCCTTTTGAGATGCTGGCGCACACAGCTTATACTGCACCTTCAGAAAAATACCAATATTGACGTATACACATTTTCAAGCTTTCTGTGTGAAGAGTGGAAAACATTTCTAAAAAACCAGGCTCCATACTTCTTCATGATTTCTGATGAAGGAATGAACAAACATCAAACTCTTTATTTAAATATGCTATTACTTCATGCTCTTGGAAATCAGATTGACGTTGTGCTCACTGATGCACAGGAGTCTGATCACCTCAGAGTCTACGGATACTACATGAAATCAAATATTCTGAATAAAAAATTCATACAAAAGGTAAGTGAGGTCATTTTAATTGCATCAGTAACTATTCTAATAAGAAGAAGCAATATCAACTACTCAAATTGTATTCTTCCAGCTCCCATTTATCACAGCTTGGCATATAAAAGTATATCTTTAACATTTATTTTATTTTGCATGGACTAATATTTCTGTTTACTTCCTATTGTATACACACTGCAGAAAGTCAAAAGAAAACACCAGGGAAATCCCCTCTGCGACAGTGGTCACTACCGTGGTTGCCAACCTCCCATGACTTTTTTTACTTAGAGAAAACATACTAAATTGACTCAGTTTTTAATGACAATTTGTAATTTTTACAGAAGCGCCCATTAAAGACTAAAACCCATAATATTTTAACGGTATTAGTAACATGTGAACAGTTAACATTATCCACAACAAGTAGATTACCTTGCCTTGCAGGTAAAAAGTCAAACATTGATTCTGACAAAAGTTAGAATGACGAATTCGTTAATTGTGTGTTTTAAACTTAATGCTGCAAAAATTCCCAGTATCAGAACTTGGGAAAGAGAGACATGGTTGCAGCATGCCACAATGAAATACACACCTTGACTACACTGGGCTAGGTGTGCTAGAGATATGTTTCTATGTTAATTATGCTTAATACATAGCAAATCATCAGACTTGGGGGACCTGCTGGTGCATGCAGAAAGAGATATTGAATATTTGAGTCACTTCCTGGCACATGGTCCTCCTTCCAGCACGTTTGCCCTTAAAGGATATGTCTGTAAGATCCAGTCTTATCTTGGGCCTTAGGGCCTCGTAATCTGGAGTGCTGCCAGGATCTCCCCTCCTGGGAGGAAAACGAAGATACTGGCTGCCATGGAGGGGTATTATAGGCTTAGAGGAAGTAGACTGCAGTTTTCCCCACATAGAGATGGTGAGTGACTGACTGAGTTGGAAAGCACCACAGAAACCTTACCACACTATTCTGCCCTAAATTCTGAGCTGCCACATGAATCTCAGTTGTCAAAGAGCCACTTTGAAGTTGCAGCCTTTTATAGCCGTGTGGAAGAGGGACCTAGATGGCTAGAAAGACATGCAGAACACCACGGACTGTGTTTGAGCAGAATATACAGACATGCTGTGCTCCCTCTACCCATCTTCCTATTCCTCCGTAGACTAGTGCAATAAATGTGTTAAAACCTAAAGTAAAGTGACTGGTGCTAATCATTGTAAACATCAAAAGACAAGAACTGCAGCCTGAGATGGCCTAGAACTTCTACTGGCAAGTAAATACATTGTGAGTGAGCTTGGGTTGGTGGCTATTTTATAACATGAAATGAAAAAGCAGGTCACCAGTGCTCAGATTATTTAAATAGATATGTCCTTTTTAATGGACAATTGTGTCACGACAATCAACAAAGCTGACGTTTTCGGTGCCGCGCAGGGTCCCTTCTTCAAGGCAGATAGATGTGACAATGTAATAGTGTTCACACACCACATATATACCCCATGAAGTTAATGAATCATCAGTAGCCACACCCCCAGTGATGTCAGAATGGCAGGAGAAAACGCCATATTTAAAAGTCAAAATATCATTTAAAAACAACATATTCAAACTCACGAAAATAGTTAATGAACTGTACCAACAATCTGATGATCCAAGGAAGCGCTGTGGTAGTGGAGTGTCCGACATCGCTACGGCATATATGCACGGCAGTCCAAAGACAGCGGCATTGCAATCTAGCATCCCCAGCCGGTGTATACAGTGTCGCCCCTTGTCCTCATGTGTCGGCGCGCACAATACGCGTCATCGGTTACTAAGGTGATGGGGAGATACAATTCTCAATCATCATACGGCGCAGGTGCCGGGGCTGTATGTCAGAGTTACAACCTGGGTGTGGGAAGAACAAGATAGCTGATGTCCCCACTCCACAAGCACAGCAATAAAACGTTCCAGGATCAGAGTGGGGAAAAAGAAAAACAGTATAATAATGATTGATATAAGACAGATGTGCACAAAAGAAAATAATATTAGTGAGAATAATATATTCACATATAGGGAACCAAACCAGGGAACATACAAAGGGATAATACAAAATACACACGTATATGACACATACACAAAATAGAACATAAAACAAGACACAAAATCGGCCATGAAGTATATAAAAAAAAATAACTATAAAATTACCATACATTAATTACATAAGGGTAACCCACATCATTGCATAGATGGGTATCCTATAAATATAAAATGTTTTACAAATTCTCCAATATATTAAGATGAAACGTCGATGTTGATAAATGACTAGGTACACATAATCACAATGTGGTGATTATGTGATGAATGTGGGTCAGCACAGTATGAATAAGGATTAAACTTAGTTATAAGTTTACTAAGTTTAATCCTTATTCATACCAGGTTAAACGTACGGTACAACGTAATATGAATATCTTAAGAGCTGACAGGACTTTGGCTCCTATTGTCAAACACACACCTCGTGTTGTTTATTCCGGAAATAGATCTTTACGTGACTACCTAGTCTGTGCTGACCCACATTCTAAATATGGCACGGTGCCGCATAAATTGTCTACAAAGCAGGGATGTTACCGATGCCATAATTGTAGCGTCTGCAACTCCCTCATCACTGGTGACTAATTCTTTCATCCATATACAGGGAAGAAATATTCTATTCACAGTTACTTGAATTGTGTGTCTGAGTACTGTGTATATATATATATATATATATAAAATGCCCCTGCTCACTGGTCTACGTGGGAAAAACCATAAATGTGTTTAAAAAACGATATCAAATTAGCAATTGAATACAAGCAACAAGGAAAGGACATTGACCCAAATAAACCAGTGGCAATACACTTTGCACAATTAAACCACCAGACACACGAGCTCAAAGCAATGGTTATCGAACACGTACCGAGACCGCATAGAGGCGGTAATAGAGACAACATGTTATTACGTAGGGAAGCCTACTGGATTCATACGTTGAATACAGTAAAACCAAGAGGACTCAATTTCTCTTTATCTTTGTCCTGTTACCTAGTTGAATAAGTTGCCAACGTCAACTCTCTCGATATTTATATTTATATGATTACTTTACACTTGTGATTATGTGTACCTAGTCATTTATCAACATCAACGTTTCATCTTAATATATTGGAGAATTTTTACAATTTTTTGTATTTCTAGGATACCCATCTATGCAATGATGTGGGTTACCCTTATGTAATTAATTTATGCTAATTTCCTAGTTATTGTTTTTGATATACTTCATGGTCTCTGAGTCGATTTTGTGTCTTGTTTTATGTTCTATCCTGTGTATGTGTCATATACGTATGTATTTTGTATTATCCCTTTGTATGTTCCCTGGTTTGGTTCCCTATATGTGAATATATTATTTTCTTTTGTGCACATCTCTGTCTTATATCAATCATTATTATACTCTTTTTCTTTTTCCCCACTCTGATCCTGGAACGTTTTATTGCTGTGCTTGTGGAGTGGGGACATCAGCTATCTTGTTCTTCCCACACCCAGGTTGTAACTCTGACATACAGCCCCGGCACCTGCGCCGTATGATGATTGAGAATTGTATCTCCCCATCACCTTAGTAACCGATGGCGCGTATTGTGCGCGCCGACACATGAGGACAAGGGGCGACACTGTATACACTATTACATTGTCACATCTATCTGCCTTGAAGAAGGGACCCTGCGCGGCCCCCCGAAACGTCGGCTTTGTTGATTGTCGTAACACAATTGTCCATTAAAAAGGACATATCTATTTAAATAATCTGAGTGCTGGTGACCTGCTTTTTCATTTCGTACTTTGCACAGTGCCATCCGTGGTGGTTACTAAGAGCACCATCGTTCTTACTGGCCGGGATTGCTGTAAGGTGTGCGGAGAGCACCCTCACCAACTGAAAGCTATTTTATAACACACACACAGGGACCATGTGGAACAAAATTAGCCACCCTCCAGAAGGAAGGACAGTGTCAGCACCAATTCAGAGATGATTTGAGCATCTACAGCTACAGAAATACGCTACATTTGCGTTAATAGGGTGCTTGAGTGGATATTCAAGATTTAACTCCTGAGTTTAGTGTCCCCTTAAGGTTGACTTTTCTGGTATCTATTTACTTGATGCAACCTCATCTTTTATATTGTACAAAAAAATAAAGGTTTAAGAGTGAGCAAAAACTTTTATCTCTTTCAGGTTTTTATTTCTACTTGTTTCTTGCCATCCTAATAAACTCAATTTTCCATAATTCTTGTTCATTTTTCTCCAGTGGACAACAATTAAAACCTGGCAGAAGCTCTAATCCATCCTTACTATTATTATAACTAAATTAAAGACAAAATGGCAGAGATTGAGCTTTAATGTTTCTAACAAATAATTTCATTTTATTTATCTACACAGAATGCCATCAAATTTGAGGAAACACTTCAGGAAAAAATTACAGCTTTCCAAAAGAAGACAGAGTCAGACCAAAGTTTTTTAGTTCAGGAGATTGCAGGGGAAAAACAGGTTTGTATTTGTGTTCATTACTTTTTAATTATTTAGTAATAATTCACTTTAATACCCGAGGTAATGGTACTAACCTGACAAAAGGAGCCATGTTTTATCTGTGGCAGGACTGCTTTTACCATTATATACAGTAGACTTATAATTAGCAGTAACAAAGGCTAGGTTTCTTTTATTACACATTTGATTCCCATTAAAGTGGATCCATCAGTAACAATATAGACCTTGTATGGCAGCCCTTTAGTAAGGCAAAAGTATCAGCAATGCCTGCATAGGTAATGGGCAAATATTGCTGCCTCATGTGCCTAGAAAATTACAAAGTCTACATAGAAGCAAGGTTTTTAATAAATAACAGAGATTGATAAGGTGATTTAATATCAGCTGGTCTCTTTCACACGCATAGCTAAAATCATTAAAAAGACTATAGTTTCCCCCATGAATGAAAGATTTCGTATTCAGCCAAATACAAAGTAAAACAAAATAAAGATTATTGGTCCACTTAAATGCTCAAAGCTTATAGTACTGAAGTCTATTAACATTAAGGATAGAACGTATGAAATAAGAAACTACATGGATGCCAGATAAGTGCATTTAAATACAACCTGCATTAGACAACCTTTACACATTCCTGGGTTTCAAGCTTAGGTTGAAGGCCATTAAAAAAAAAAGGCAATTTTGTATGACGTCCTTCCGAAACCTATGGTTGCCCTGGATTTGCTTCCAGGACTCCACTGCGTTCCCTGCATTAATGACCTCAGTCCCATAGGTAGGGTATCCTGATGTTGCTACCCTGCTTCATATATATACTCTGGCCCTGACTTCATCTCGTGTGACCACTGAACAGCGATGTCTGGCTCCATGAGTCCACAACCCCTCCTCACCTCCCCCTACTGTCTTTGTTGTGTTATGTCCTCCTGTTTTGTCTTGTCCTACGTTTCCAGGTTTGTCCCCCCCCCCCCTTCTCTGTTTATCCAGGCTTATGGCACTGTTAAGGGCTCCCTGTTATTTGATGTATGCCTTTTAGGCTATCAATGATTATGTTATAGGCTTTGCCCATTCCCATGATACAGTTGGACTATGCTGGGTCCTGTGGACCACAATGCCTGTATGACTGTTATTCTCATATACATGTGCTTTATGTTTTATTCTTTCTCCCAAAATTAATAAACTTGATTTGATCAAAAAAAGGCAATTTTAGTAACATTTTTAAATCTGCTGGACCAGAAATAGCAATATTATTTAAAGCAGCACAGTATAGCATCTGATGTACATACGGTATTTATGTCATACATTTTTTGGATGTGTTATGCAGGTGCAGCAATGCATTTCTCTACTGTCTACAGTTTTGAAAGAGAATTGTGATGTACGAGTTGCAACTTGTGTTTTTTCATGCTCCTTGGCACTGAGAATACACGCAAGGACTGAAAACTCCCAGTATCAGGTATGAATTTTTTTTACTAATTCCATTGCTGACAGTTTAATTCACATGTATTGTTAACAACTTACCATATAAATCATATACTGACTTAGAAGGTCTTTTAGTGGTGGTGTGGAAATCAAGATGATCCGTAAATCCAGATATACAGGTGAAACTCGAATAATTAGAATATCGTGCAAAAGTAATTGCAGTGAGTGCTGAAAAAGGGGCCCAAACCAAGTACTGAGTACATATGCATGCTTGTACTTTTCAGAGGTCCGATATTGTTCTATGTACAATCCTTGTTTTATTGATTGCATGTAATATTCTCATTTTCTGAGTTTGTGGATTTGGGGTTCTTGGGGTTTTCATGAGCTGTAAGCCATAATCATCACAATTATGACAAATCACGGCTTGAATTATCTTGCTTTGCATGTAATGAGTATATCTCATATATTAGTTTCACCTTTTAAATTGCATTAGTGAAATAAATGAACTTTGCACGATATTCTAATCGAGTTTCACCTGTATAGACAGCTGCTGAAGTTCTAGGCAAACTTAATTTTTTTAGTTAAAAGGTCATGCGTGACTCAACCCCTTCCTGCCTTCCCATCCTCCTAATGGTTATCACATTAACTGGCAGCACTGTTGACCAACAGGGAAGCACAGGGGTAGGGAGTGGTGAGGTCAAGCTTATGTTTACAGGAAAAAGGTATATAAATTAAACATTCTATATCACTGAATCTACTAATTGTTTTGCCTTGCTGTTTTCACTGATGGTAACACCTGGTTCTTTGTTTTTTTCATTCATCCTGAGACATTTTGCATGAAGTATATATATTCCACTCATGTATAAGTATAACATAATACCTGCTTTTTATTTTCCAGAATGATAATGAACCACACTTGACCCTGGAGGAAGCAGCTGACCTGTGTAGAATACAGTGCCTTTCTGTAGCAATGAGAATCATTTTGCCACTTTGCCAGAGAGCGAAGTTAAGGAGAATAAAAGGAAAATGGAACAGAGATGCTCTCGTATTTTTACGTCTGGTAAGACATGATTGACACTTTATTGTATTTGTAGAAAAAACAGAAGATGCCATCACACATACTCCAACACTGCACTTTTTAAATTGAACTGTAAAGCCGTGGTTGACATTTGCTCTTGTGTTAATTATCATTTAAGTAGAGGTTATATGTCCCCATATTATGAGAGTCTTATGTGCGTTCCTTACAAGTTCATGTACTAAAAAAAGATTGAGTAGCTGAACATGTTCATCGAATGTTTTCTGTTTTTCTAGCGTCTCTATCCCAGCTGTCTCCATTGCCTCTCTATCCTGTGTGCTTCCTAAACTGTAACACCTTTCCCGCTCTCTCATGAATCTCTGCTATCCTACTCTGACTCTCTATTCTCCATCTTCTATTTCCGGCCTTCTTTAGATATGAGGTTCGGGTTCGCCACTACTATGGGTTTGAGAAATCCTGCAGTTTTGAGGTTCACGGTGCTGGTGAATGTTGCTGCAGATTCGCTGGGGAGAATTTGTTAAAACCACTGTTTGGCATTTGAACTATGACTGGCAAGCCTAGAACAGCCAATAAGGCTTGCTTTTGGTTAAACCACCCTCTCACTATAAAAAAAGGGGGGGGGGCACAGAGCAGCCATTGTGTCAGTGAATTGGAAGCTGTTGTAGGGAACAAAAGGGAAAACTGACAATCTTCATAGGGAGAAATTAGGGTCAGTTAGAAAACTCTACTTTAATTCTGATTGCTAGCTCTTTGGTCAACCAACCTCTTTGCTGCATTTTTTTATTCCTATTATTGGAGACTATTTTTTTTCACTTTATTTTGTGGTTGATTGGAAGTCAGGGGTCACTTTTATTTTTTTAAGGTAATTAAAGTCAAAAGGATTTTAAGCAATTCAAATGCTGATGAAATCACTTACAAAGAATGCTACTCCTTAATGTTTTAAAGTGTTAGCTCCCTGAAGAATCAGCTGGTCCCCAGAGCACTTGTCCTGACCTCCTGTTTTAGAGTGACTCCTTTCTCAAGCAAAGAGCTATGCAGTCACCCTTGTGTGTGCTAGTAAGCAGTGTGTGTCTCCACAAACACATAGACACAGCAAATAAAGCTACTTCCCTCTCCCTGGCCCCCTCTCCTCCCGGCTCCAAGCTAAAAGATTAAACAGTTGCTGGAGTCTGTATTGTTCTTTGTGATCTTGTACTGGACAGAAGGTTCAGGAAAGATAAGCTGAGAGACTTGGAAGCAGTTGTTCAGAAAACTGGTGATTGTAAATGTTTGGTAAAAAATGTAAAGCAATTCTTTGCTGGGCAATGCATATTTGTTTTATCTGGATTCATTATTGACATTTTTTTGTGAGCGTTTAATACTGATAGGGCCTTTTTTAAGTTTGGGTTTCTTAAAGTGGAGCATTTACTTCTTACTGACCATCTGTTCCTGGAGCTGGCTTTTGTTTGCAGCATGCCACTACATCATTTGAAGGAAAAAAAATTAAGTGCAACAGTGAGTCCGCACCTCCTATCCCTGTCAATAAAATAAAAGTTAGGCATACACCAGTTAGACCTATTATCTCTGATTAAAACTGTCCTGCTGCAAGCCACTGCTTTATCATCTACAGTTTCCTAATTCTTGTGATAAAGCCCCAGCCTGTGCTTTTTGTCTCTAGTGAATTTGGCCTAGTTGAAATTGTCCTCTTGCTGTGCCTACATTGCTGTGTCATTTTCGGTCTCTTAATTCTCACAGTAAAACTCTTTTTCTCTAGTACATTTCAGCCATTTTATCAACCTGAAATGAATCATATTGGGGTGCTGCTGCTGCTGTATGTAAGTCAAGGTGGTTGAAGGATTTGTGTATCCTGAATGTTGTCCTCCAAGCCACATAAAAAGCCCCCTCCCCCCCCACTATAAGTTATTTTTTTACTTTGGAACATGGCCTTATGGAAGTGCCTAGCTTCCCATGGCCATATTTGGGTAATGATGTACGCCTTTTTTACATACAGCTTTCAGCAGGGGTATCTCTAGGCTGTTAGCTAAATGGGGCCAGGAATGAGACATTAATTGCTAGGGAACTGCCTTCTAGAAACCAATGACACTTGCAATGGGCGGAGCATGATGGGGAAGCTGAGGGACTAGTTCCGCATCAGTTCTGCTCCACTGATGATTGACGGCAGGCAGTGGGTGGATTTTATAGCCAATAGACAGCCTGCTAATGGCTATGGAATCTGCCAACCACCTGCTGTTACTAACAGAGTGGACCTGATGGGAAGCTAGTCCCTTGGCATCCTTACCAGGCTCTGCCCACTGTCCGCATCACTGGTTGTTAAGTCATTGGATGCTTATCCTTTAGATTTAAATTGCACCTGT